AATTGGGAAACATAGTCGGGGGACGATTTTCGAACTATTTCTGACCACTTGTCAATATGTTTTTCAATCGTTGTGGAAAATACCATGGAGGCCCATGCCAAGAAACACCCTGCGTCTCCAGGGTGCCCTTGGTTTCTTGGGTTTCGATGGTGTTGCGATGGGGAGCGCGACGTTCCCACACCAAAAATCGATGGACGTCCTGGGGTCTCAGGGTTGAGGTTTCTTGTGGAAGGTTTCTTGTGGACGAACTCTAATTGTATGCGAAGTGGGGAGGCAGACGGGGCTCCAGAAAACATGGGGGGTGCTGAGATTTGTGTCTGTTTAGCTGTGTGCCCCTGGGCCCCTGCGGTGACGACGACCACCACCTGCCACGGCGACAACTTATGTTATGTCGTGCATGTCCCTCTACCGGAGGAAAATTCAAAACTAGTCAAACAATAGTTTGGGGACGACTATTGGCTTATTCTTGGGAGCAAAAAATTGAGCATGTATTTTTCGTCCTAAATCCGCCTGTAGGGGGACATGCCCGACCTAAAACTTATGACCAAGACCACTACAATCGTTCGGATGCAACTCCTGGGAGGTCAAAGTCTGACTTTGCCCTGGGCCGAAATCCAGGCTAATCCGGCTTAGTTCTCTTTAATCTGGCGTGATCCCGTTCCGTACGGCATGATCCCGTTCAATCCGCGGCCTAATCCAGCGTAGCAGCCCCTCAATGTGACCTACTTAGCCCTTCCGACGAAGACCTCCCAGTAGTTGCTCCCTAACCATCGCAACCACCACCGCGACCACCACGACCACTGCCACGACGACCACTCCCACGACCACCACCCCTGCCCTGACGACGTCGACCGTCCGGCCCCCCCCCCCTCTCTCCCGCCCTGCTTCCTTCCTTTGGCCGTCCTTGCACGCTGTTCGCTGCTCGTTTTTCAAAACTCAGAAAGGAACAAAAAAAACACAGACACAATTAATCGTCGATTCCCCAGGCAATCTAAGAAAATATGGGAAGTGGGGGAAGACGAAAACCCCACAAATATAGGAAAGCATGGGGTATCTTTTTATTTGTGTGTATTTATTTGTGTGTCCTGGGGCCCCTTAAAACAAATGATCCTCCTCTTCCTCGCCATCCTCCTCCCCGCGAGTGGCCGAATTCATACGGCCTGCGAGGCCCGTCGCGAAGGCGACGGCCTTGCAGTCGCCCCTTTCTGGTCTGCCCCGAAGGGCCCCTCCGAGGGTGCCGGTCTCGTCGTTGGGAGTTAATGGGGCCGTGGCGGCGAGAGGTACGAAGAGAGGGAGAGAGAGAGAGAGAGAGAGAAAGAAACAAATAAGAGAGAGAGAGAGAGAGAAAAGAGAAAGAGAAAAAGAGAGAGAGAGAGAGAGAAAGAGAGAGAAAGAGAGAAAGAGAGAGAGAGAGAGAGAGCGAGGTGGGTGGAAAAGAGAGGAACACAGAACAAGAGAGCGACAGAGAGAAAACAAAGAAAGAGGTGGGTCGAAAAGAGAGAAAGAGAGAGAAAGAGAGAGAGAGAGAGAAACAACAAATATTAAAGAGAGAGAGAGAGAGAGAGAGAGAGAGAGAAAAAAAAAAAAAAAAAAAAAAAAAAAAAAAAAAAAAAAAAAAAAAGTGAGAGAGAGAGAGGCAGGGAGGCGAAGCGAGGCAACACAGGGCAGAGGGGAGAGACCGGCGGAGGGAAGCCACGTGGCCGCGGGGTTTCGGCGGCCGCTGCCCGGCCCGCGGCCGCATGGTGGCGCCCGGGCGCCGGCCCTGCCCGCGGCCGCGGCCGCGCGGGGTCGGCTGGGCGGCCGCCTGTGCGCTGTCGGCGGGCGGCGGGCCGGCGCCGCGGCGGTGCGGCGCGCGCGCGGCGGCGCCGAGGAGCGCACGGTTCGGACGGTCGACGTTTTTTTTTTTCGAGACCTCCTCGCGGCGTGAGAAATCACGACGGGAGGTGTTTTGTCATTTTCGGCCTCCTCGGGCCCTCACCGGGTCTCGGGGCCGTCAAGAAACGATTTTGAGGATGAAAAACCGGTCCCGGGGAATGGGTCGAGACCATGGGGGGTGGACGCTACGAAAAAAAACATTACGTCGAGGGTCTGGGTTTTCTATCACCGAGCGCGTTCCACTACTCGCCAAGTGCCTAGACTCGCAAACGTAAAAAAATCATGTTTGCCACGATGTAGTGTGTGAGTATATATATGTATGTGTAATATATATATATATATACATACATACATACATACATACGTACATACACATGTATCGCACATCCCCCGCGGCGGGTCCAGGCCATGTGCGAGAAGAGTTACTTTGAGGGTAGTTGAGCACGCTTGTCTATTCTAGGCTTCCCAGGTGCGGTCTTAGCGTATGGGGTCGGAGGATCGCGTCACATCGCCGACGCGTCGGCGATGCGGCTCGATGCGGAGCCTGATTTTCTTCACGTCGACCTCGCCGATGCAGCTTGTTTTTCCCGGGGGTAATGTTACATGGGCTACCCCACGCGGGAGAATATGTTAGCAGAACCGTACGAGGATTGTCATGTATATCCCTATGGTTCTCTTCCTCTTTTGGCAGCCTGAATGCAGAGGTACATATTTTCTCGCTTGCGCGAGTAGTCGTAGTCGCTATCTCAGTTGCATTCTCAGTCGCTTCCGCAGTCGTGGTCATAGTCGTGATAGTAATCGTTGTCGCTAACTGCTCGTAGTCGTTGCCGCAGCCGTAGTCGTATCGTGATCGTAGTCGTAAACGTAGTCGTAGTCGTCGTCGTCGTCGTCGTCGTCGTCGTTGCTGTGGTGCTGCGGGTGCCCCCGCGGAGAGATTATCATGTTCCATTACACGCCAGTCGTTGAAAGTATGTATTTTTGGTTTCCCAGATCCCAATCTACGTCAAGCGCCTTCCTACTTCAAGCATCGGCACGCTTTTGCTGTGTTCTGTCATTCTCTGGGGGGGCCTGGACCCAATCAACTCAGTCCGCCTTCCTACTTCATGATTCTTACCTACTTCTTCCGGCCGACGTGTATTGGCGGGGCCCCAGTTCGTCAGTGAAGTCGCCGAGCAGAGGATAAGTTTCCAATCACTTGGGGGGGGGTTCTAAAGACCTAGCGGGGTCATCAGGGAAGCGTGGCACGATTCGAAGAGCTCGGGGAGCCTATGTGGGCCAGAGGCCTCCTGGACGCCTCTCGGAGTTTCTTGGGGTGCGCGGCGTCTTTTCTGGGGATTCTCGAAGGTCTATGGTGCCTCTGGGGCCTCTTTGAGGCCTCTTTGCCTCTTGGGGCCTCTTTGGGGGCTTCTTTTGGGGCCTCTGTTGGGGCCTCTGTTGGGGCCTCGTTGGGGCCTCTTGGGGGCCCCTTGGTGGCCTCTGGACGGGCTTCTTGGACGCCTCTTGGGGCGCCCACAGGCTCGGTTTTAGGTTTTGTTTGAAACCATTTTGCCGGCTTTTGACTAAAGGAAGGAGGCGGCGCTAATCGGGTTCACCCCCCCACGAGGCCAACATGGGGCCACAGCCAAGGACAAATCAGCGTTGCTTGCCTTCTCGCTGAGGCCCTCTTGTACGCTCTGACCGCTCGCGAGTGCCCCCGTCCAGATCCATGGGCAGCGGGTAGGGTAGAGGGAGATAAACTTTCTCATTTGGGGGAGCCTCCTCCTCCTCCTCCACAATTATACAATATGAATACTACTCCTCCATCCCCTGATGGCGTGCGGAAGATAGCGGGCACCCCCCCCGCGTATTGTTTTGTTGCGCACAGGATTTCCCGGAGTTGGGTGTTCGCTTGCTTTTTTTTTTATGGTGTTCTCGCTGAGGCGCGTGCTTCATTTTCGGGCTTTCGCTCGTTCCGAATCGTGTTCCCGCTGCAGCGCTGGCCTCATGTCCGTGCTTCTGCTCGTTCCGAATCGTGCTCCCGCTGCAGCGTTGGCGTCATTTCCCGTGCCATGCCACGGCATGCAATGCAATGTTAGGTTGCGTTCTTCTGCGCGATGCCATGCCTTCAGCTGCAGCTGTCATATCCAGTGCGTAGGTGCCACGCCATGCTATGCCATGCTACGCTTTGATCTTCAACGCCATGCTATGCAATGTTATATTCGGGGCCGCTGTGCGATGCCATGCTTTGCGTTGCAAAGCTTTGTGATGCAATTCTTCACTACGCCACGCCACGCCATGCTGTGACATACTACGCTTTGCGGTGCTCATCTACGCCATGCCATGCCGTGCTCTACAATGCATCGCGTACCCTTTCGGGATCATTGCCTTGCTCAACATCCGACTGTGCGAGTAGAGGGGGGATCTACGCCATGGTAAGGGAAGGGAAGGGAGGGAGGGGTAGGATGTCAGATATGACGCGAGCGCACCTAGCTTATCCTCCTCCTCCGCCTCCTCCTCCTCCTCCTCCTCCGCCTCCTCCTCCTCCTCCCACCTCCTCCGCCTCCTACTTCCTCCTCCGCCTCCTCCCCTCACCTCCTCCTCCTCCTCCTCCTCCTCCTCCTCCTCCTCCTCCTCCTCCTCCTCCTCCTCCTCCTCCTCCTCCTCCTCCCCCCCCTCCTCCCCTCTGCAAGGCCTGGCCGCCCCTGCAGGCGTGATGGGAGCGGGCCCGGGAACAGAGGAGGCAACCGTTGAGACAACGGTTGCTGGCCATCGCGGTGGCATTCTCGTCTCAGGGGCAACGATCGGGGGGATAGGCATACAGTGCCATTTTAAATACATGCTCCGCGTGCGGATCATGTATTAAAAACGCAGGGAGTTAGTATTAAAAACAACGATGAGTCCATGCATCAGTTTATTCATACATTAGCCATGTATTAAAATCCAATATTTTGAAACATCCGATGTATTAAAAACTGCCCTGTATGGGGGATGCATCGACCCCCAATCGCCCAATGATCGCCGACAGGGGTCCGATAGCCCCAACCTGCCCAGGAACGTTCGGATTCACTATCGGGGGCCTATCGCCGATCTATCGGCGATGCATCACCGCTTCCAGGTCGATGCATCCACCCCCATGCCAGTCCCCTCCCCTGTCGTTGCCTCCCCTCGTCGTCACGGCCGGACGCAGCTCGGAGAACTGGTGAGCTTGGACCCCGGTTTGGGTCCGCGGGCCGATTTTCAGAGGAGGAAGAGGTACCCATACTTCTACCTTTCCCTAGTTTTCCCCTGTGTTGGGCCTCCTGGGAGGCCCCACGTCGCCACCGTTGGATTCGCCTCGAAGTTCTGGTCAGAACGCACCCCGGGAGAGGCCCAGGGGGGTAGCGGTATCGGATCCTTTGGATCTCCCCAGATTTGGGGCTGCCGTGGTCCCAAGCCGCCCTGCTCCGACCAAGGGAAGGCTACAGACCCTGGAGGTCCTGCTTCGCCGTCCCTGGGCCTCTTGCCTCGGGGGCGCCCTGGAGCCGTTGACAGACGACTCCACGGGATGAGGAGCTGGTCCCCAACGGGGAGGCCGCCTGCCACAGGGCATGCTTCCTTTTCCCGGCAGCCCCGCGGCTGGAGGCCTCGTGCTGCGCGGCCAGCCATCGGGCGGTGCCGCGGCGGCCACCTCCGGTGGGACAGCGGGGAGCGGCCGTACAGGCGGGCGCGGGCGGACGAGATCGATTCGGCATGGGTGTTCCGACGACGGCAACGACGAGGACGAGGACGAGGACGAGGACGACGAGGAGGTGGGAAGCGAGAAGGGAGGGGGAGTGAGGAGGGCGAAGAAGGGGTCGACGACGGAGACGACGAGGGGGGCAGGGAGGAGGGGACGTGGACGGTGACTTGGGTCAACTGACTTCGCCCTTCGCGATACGCTGGACGCACCACATCATCGCGCCCCCGCATTCGTGTCGACATCCAGTCAGGCGCTCGCAGACATGGACCAAGGGGGCGTGGATTAGCGACGGGCCCCGTTTCCACGGGAAATCGCGGCTTTCCGCCGCCGAAGAGGCGGCATTGGCCGCTTTTTTTTAGGGGAAGAAAAAAAACATAAACGTAACAACTCGGAGGTCCGCGCGGATTTCTCGGATCCGCGCCGAAGCCCCCTGGCGGCGCTTCCGGCGCCGCCCCTGGCGCGCTCCGCGCGCCAGGGAGGAGGGTCCAGCGCCGATCCGAGAAACCCGCGCGGACCTCCGAGTTGTTATGTTTATGCCACTTTTTGTTCCCCTATTTTTGGGGGAGGGCACCTCCCCCGAGGCATGGATGTGGCGACCGCGCGCCAGATCCATGGATCGCTAGTCCGTGTTGGCACGCCCCCGAGCCAGCTGCCGTGCCTCGGCCCGCTCCCGGCCTCTCGGGGCCCCATCCTCGGGGAGCGGAGCAGCGGGAGCAGAGGCAGGAGGAGCTGGAGGGCCTGCTGTCCACCATCACCACCCAGAAACTGGATGGGGGGGAGGAGGAGGAGGAGGAGGAGGAGGAGGAGGAGGAGGAGGAGGAGGAGGAGGAGGAGGAGGAGGTTGGAGGACGAAGAGGAGGAGGGGGAAGGAGGAGGAGGAGGAGGAGGAGGAGGAGGAGGGCAGCGGCTCGGAGTGGAGAGGCCGCCTCGTGGGAGAGCCCCCCTCCTCGTCGGCGGCGGGCGAGTGGGGGAAGTGAGGAGGAGAGGGCCTTCTCAGAAGGTGGCGTGGCTTCTCAGAAGCCCTCGCGCCTTCTGGGAGGGTTTTGTCTGTCTCCGGGGACAGCTCAGAAAGCCTCCTCAGAAGGCCAGGGGACTTCCGAGCCTTCTGAGAAGGCCCGCCCCTTCGTAACTCCCCCCCCCCCCGCCCTCGCCGCCAAGTGAGAGGCTGGCTCGTGGGAGGGCCCGTCTCCCTCGGAGCCCCCGTTTGGCTGCTCGTGGCAGCGGTCAGGCCCCAGGGCCGCGTGGCAGGTCAGGGGTCGCGTGAAGTCGGGCACAGTCCCTCCGCAGGAGGAGTGCGCAAGAATAGTGCTACAATCGTCTGGGGTCGACTTGCCATGCCTTGTTGGCGATGCTTGGTTATTTGCTCGTGCCCTGTTGGCTTTGCTTGAGTATGTGTCGTGCCTTGTTGGCCCTGCTTGAGCATGTTTTGTCATGCCTTTTTGGCGATGCTCGAGTATGTGCTCGTGCCTTGTTGGCTGTTGTTGAGTAGGTGTCGTGCCTTGCTGGCCATGCTCGAGCATGTTTGGCTGCCGTGTGCACTCTTCTCGTAGAGGCCCGCCCGCAGGAGGACCCGCCCGACTCGAGAGAGTCGCGGCCTCCCGGCCCCGAGGGCGCCCAGAGCGGCCTGAACAAAAAAGACAGGAAGCAACCCAAGACAAGCGCAAAACCATAAACAAACAGTTGGAAGCAACCCAGAGAGAAAACAAGCACACCAAACGACTAATACACGAAACAGACACAGCCCATACCAAAGCACACGACAACAGCCCGGGAACACATGAGAAAAACAACCCAGAAGCAACCCAGGACCAGCAGGAAACGAAACAGCGAGCAAGCAAGAGCGAACACAAACCAAACGACCCCGAACAAAAACGCTCCGACAAAAGAAGCAACAGCACAACAAACAAATAACGAAAACAAGCCAAACGACCCCGAAACAAAAGCTCCGACAAAGGAAGCAACAGCATCACGATCACGCCTCGAAGCCAGCAGCAGCGAACAGCAGGCGCGGGGCGTGGCGAACCGAGGGCGGCGGCCTCCCGGCCTCCAGGGGGCGACGTCCCGGGGGGCTTGGCATCGCTCGGACGTGTGCATTTTTCCTTCGGCGAGGACCATCGAGGCGGCATCCTTGATCATTCATTTGGCGACAAAACCACGCACGAAACCGAAACAAAAAACACAGGGAATGGACGTCCGAGCGATAGCGAGGGGGCGGCAGAGGCTCGGAGGCCCCTGGGCGGGCGCTCTTCTCCGCCCAGCCTCTCCGGGGGCCACCAGGCGGGGTGGCGACCACACCGCGTGGTGGGTCGGCGGAGGGCGAAGGGCGCGTGTCCTCCTCCTCCCTCCTCCGCCTCCTCCTCCCCCTCCTCCTCCTCCTCCTCCTCCTCCTCCTCCTCCTCCTCCTCCTCCTCCTCCTCCTCCTCTCGTCCTCCTTCTCCTCCTCCTCCTCCTCCCCCTCCTCGTCTTCTTCTCCTCCTTCTTCTCCATCATTCCCTTTGTGATGTTTATCCTATTCCTCCTCCCCTTCCTTTTCATCCACCACCACCTCCTTTCTTCCTTTTCCCGATATCGGAACAATGAAATCCACAAGTCAGCCCGAATGGTGGGGAGAAGCAGGTTTCCAAGGCCACCCTTGCTTCCTCCCCCTCGTCCTTGGCCGCTCTCGCTGGACGCGCCCCGGCTCGCAGATTGTCGACATGGCCCTCTAAGGCTCGGGGGGGCCCCAAACGGGGTGGTGACCACACCGCGTGGTGAGCCGGTGGGGACTCGGGGTCACCGCACGGTTTGGGGATTGGGTCGTTCTCCGAGGATGCCTCGGGCGACTGGGTCGTCCCCAAGGGCCCCAGAACCGTGCGGCGACGGACCCTGCGGTGAGGTCTTTGGGGATTTCGAGGTCACCGCCGGGTCTGTCACCACACGGCTCCGGGACCCCCAAATCCCCCCTCCGTCCACATCCTCCCTCCTCTTGGCGATGATCCTCAGGGCGGGTGTGTGTGTGTAACGGAACGTGTGTTTGCCCCGCTCAGCTCCGGCGATAGCACGCAGCCCGTGCCGGCCCCCATGCACCCCGCCTGCGTCGCGTCGAGGGGCCTCGGTGGACGAGCACGCGTTGGCGCCAACACGTGTTCTGAGGATCGTCGATTTTTTTGTCCAGAGCTCGCCCCTACGCTCCCTGCCTCCCCTCCCTGCCTCTTCTCTTTCTCTGTTCGCTCCTCGTCTCTCTTCCTCTCATGTCTTCTCTTTTTTTGTCCCTCTCTCTCTCTCTCTCTTTCTTTGTCCAAAAAACTCGTCCCCACGCCCTCTGCCTCCCCTCTGTCGCTGCATCTCCTCTGTCTCTCTCTCTCTCTCTTTCTCTCTTTCTCTGTTTGGCCCTCGTCTCTCTTCCTCTCATGTCATTATCTCCCTCATCTCTGTGCAAAGCCTATCCCTGCGCTCCCTGCCTCCCCTCTCTCCCTGCCTCTCCTCTCCCTCTTTCTCTCTCTCTCTCTCTCTGTTAGATCCTCGTCTCTATTCCTCTCATGCCTTTCTCTCTTTCTCTCTCTCTCTCTCTATCTCTCTCTCTCTCTCTTTCTCGCTATTCGTTGCACCCCTCCCCTTCCTCTCAGATCCTCTCGTTCCTAGAACCCCTCCTGAAGAGTGGGTCTTCAACATGCCCGCCCAAAGACGAGTGTGGTACACTTCGTGTTTCAGGGTCAAACAGAGTTGAGAGTACTCATTAGTGATGGTTGTTCCCCCTCGGCAAAGCCATAGGTGCAGCACATGACAATGACGTCATTGGCATCACCCACAGAGAAGCCATCACAGAGAGCATGAATGTATAGAGATAGACTCATCATACGTCCTATGGAGGGAGATGCCCCGAGAGCGTCCCGAGTTGTTATTCATGGAAGAGCGCTAGCATCGGGCTCGACGAGTCCACAGACTGGATGATGGAAACACGTCATGACAAAGGGCACTTGCAGCAACAACTCTTCCAGTGCGGGCAGCACAGCCAGCATGCTTGCATCAAGAACTCGCCGTCAAGATGCGTGTGGCAGGACCTGACCGGACGCGTGACGCCACATCGGCGAAAGAGGAGCCGCGTCGGCGATGCCTCCGTCTGGACAGCCGTGCGGCGGAGAGAACGGCGCGACGAGCAGTCGGCGCAGTCATCTTGACGTTCTGTTCGCTGGCCACGGGCATTCGCACACATTATTTCCCGAGGAGGGCCCGTGATTGGGACGAGGAGGAGGAGGAGGAGGAGGAGTTGGAGGAGGAAGTGGAGGAGGAGGACGAGAGGAGGAGGAGGAGGAGGAGGAGGAGGTGAAGGGGGAGGGGGAGGAGAAGGAGGAGGAGGAGGAGGAGGAGGAGGAGTTTTGAAGTGTGTGGAAGAGCTTGCGCTTCGCACTCCTCGCCTGCAGTTGGACCTTCGCCCCATATTCAGACCATCGTCGGCTGTATAGTGATTGTTTTTTATTCCTTGTATTGCCGATCGGCGCGGGCCCCTTGTTTTGCCGATCGGCGCGGGCCCCCAAACCCCCCCCTCCCCCCCGGAGTAGATCTTTGCTGTTTTTTGGCGCCTGTTCCGAGCAGGTGGGGTCTCCCCCACAAGACGCACTGCTGCAAACAGTGGCACTAAGCAGAGGTCCGGCCAGACCCCCCTCCCCTCCCCTCCTTCCACCCAACCTCGAAACGCGGAACAAGAAATCTCCACATACCCCTGTGCAGGTGGAGCATCTGCGTGCTGAAGACGCCCGACGGTGGTTACGGGACCGGCTGGCTGCTGCGCTTCAGGACAGGGAGGGGAGGTCAAGGGGGGTGCACGGTGGGAGGCCCGCTCCAGATTTACAGCCTGGGCTACTACAGCCAGCCCGCATGGTATACGGTTAAGTCTGGCCTGTCCCTCTACAGGGGGAATATTAAGATATAGCATAAAAATAGTCTGGGGACTATTGTTTGAGTATTTTTGGGCATCTTGTGAGCGTGTTTGGAGTACTTCTATCTTTCGTCCAAAATCCCCCTGTAGGGGGACAGGCCCGACCTAAGTATACGGATGGGCAACCTTCCCAAGTGTCGGGGCTGGACAGAACCCCCAACAGTGACACGTCGATTAGTGAGTTGTCCGTTTTCGGTTCTCGAGAGGGCGCCGTGGCCGTTATTTTCCAGGCTTGCGCCTGCCAGGTTTGGGCCTCAGGTCGTTTTCACTAAACCACGTTTTACTAAAGGGGGGTCTGTCCATCCCCGAAAGTGTACCCTTGCATCCTTGCTCCTTCGGTCCATTCTTGGCCACGTTCGCTGGCCGCGCCCCGCTGGAAGAGCTTCGGACTGGGCGTCCGAGGCCCTTGCCTCCTCATCGCTCATTCTCATGATACGGGCCCTGGGGATCCCGGCCTTCAGAGGAGGAAAAGGTACCCATATCGCTACCATTCGGCAGTGTACCCCGTTTCGGGCCTCCTGGGAGGCCCTCGTCGCCACCGCTGGATTCGCATCGAAATTCTGGTCAGAGCGCATCCCGGGAGAGGCCCAGGGGGGGCAGCGCTGCACCCCTGGCCCGTCTCCGATATCGCAGGCCACCAATATCGGCGGTGTGCCTCCAGCGAGGGAAGAAGCTCCCAGTCTCGGTGGTGGTGGTAATATTCTGGCTTCCACGACGGCCGAAGCGTTACCACCAACACCGAGATCTAGGATCATCTTCCCCCTGTGGAGGCAGCCCCCTGAGTTGGTGTTGGTGTCCCTTTCCAGACCTCCAGCGATGGGCCCGGGGGGGGTCCGAGAGCCGCCGCGGGAGGCCGAGGTGAAGGAACCGCCGCTTGGAGCTTGAGGACTTGTCCTGGCGAAGGGCCCCGGCCACGTGCAGTGGTGTTGTCGTTGTGGGCATAGGCTTTTGGTGCACCTCCATACGGGGCCACGGAGTGTAGGGATCGGGAGGGGGACAAAAACACAGACACAAGGAATCGTCGATTCTCAGGAACTATTGAAAAAAGGGGGTATAAGACGAAAACCCTGAATCTATATGGCCACACACATATATATATATATACACACACATACATAAATCCCCGTGCACGACGCCCGGGCGCCCAGGGCGGCTGCCCCGAGGGGGCATAGGGGTACCGGGGAATCTGGGGGTGATCCCGGACGGTTCAGGACAGCTCCTCAAGAAGCCTCAGGAGGCCTCCGAATAGCCGAAGACGCCCAGAATCCCCGAATTGTCGCTCCAAGACGCCAAAGATGGTCCGCTGACAGCCCCCCGAACTGCCCAAGACGGACCATTTTCAGCCTTCCTCCCCAAAGAGAGCCCTAAGAGACCCCGAGACGGCCCTCAAAACATCCAGAATGCTCCGAGAGGCCCCCCACAGGCCCCCAAGAGGCATCCAAAAGGACCCGCAGAAGCAAAAATGGTCCCATTCCTTATGGAAAACGTGCATTTTTATAATACTCGCCCCGAGGCCTCCAAGATCGCGCCACGACGGCCAAAGAGGGTCCCAGAGGGCCCCGGGAGCGGAAGTCGTCGACGTCGTCGTCGTCGCCAAAGAATTGCTCCGCGTTCGTCGTCGGGAGGAGGAGGAGGAGGAGAAGGAGGAGGAGGAGGAGGAGGGGGGAGGAGGAGGAGGAGTAGGAAGAGGAGGAGGGGGGGATGACAAGTTAGGTGCGCGCGCGTCAACATCTGACGTCCTACCCCTCCCTCCCATCCCTTACCATGGCACTGATTTTCTCTATCCGCGGCCGCGTGTCGTAGCGGACCTGTGGCTCCGCGCGCGTGTGCGTAGTGGGTGGTGGTGCGCGTGCGTGCGTGCGTGTGTGCGTGGTTGTGGTTGTTGTGGTGGTGGTGGTGTGTGTATGTGTGTGTGCGTGTGTGCGCGTGTGCTGAGGTGTGACGTGGTGTGGCGTCTTGGTGGTTTGGTGGTGGGCCATGTGCGTACGTGCGTGATGGCGGTGGTGGTGGTGGTGGCGGTGGTGGTGGTGTGTGTGTGTGTGCGTGTGTGTCTGCGTGTGTATGTGTGTGTGTGTGTGCGTGCGTGCGTGCGTGCGTGCGTGCGTGTCTGTGTGTGCGCGCGTGTGATGTGGCGTGACGCGGTGTAGCGTGGTGGTGGTGGGTGGGGTAGTGCGGTGGTGGTGGCGGTGCGCGGTGGTGGTGCGCGTGCGTGTGTGCGTGCGTTGGTGGGTGGAACTGGCGGTGGGTGTGCGTGCGGCGGGGCGGGGCGTGGTGCGGCGCGGTGGTGGCGGGCGGATGGGCGCGCGAGGCAGAGGCCCGCGCTGGGGCGAGAACGCCATCCTGAACGACGGAGGCAAAACACCGATCCGAAAATGAGGCCCACGCTGCAGCGGGACCACGATTCGGAACGATTCGGGAGCAGAAATGAGGCCGGCGCCTCAGCGAGAGCAGCATTTTGAAAAAGAGCGCGGGCGAAAACCCAACTCCCGGGAATCTTGTGCGTTAAAAAACAGTACGCGGGGGGGTCCAATATTCCCAGCACGCCATCAGGGGAAGAGGGAGAGTAGTATTCATATTGAGTAATTGTAAAGGACAAGGAGGAGGAAAAGGAGGAGGAGGAGGAGGCGAAGGAGAGGGAGGAGGAGAAGGAGGATGAGACGACGGAAGCGACGAAGACGTCGCAGACGACGATGACCACCCGGGCGACGACGACGAAGACGAGAGACGGGACGATTGCGCCCGCGCCGCGCGCGCGCTACCAGCGAGCATTTTTCACAGCCCTCCCTCCCCTGCCGCTCGCGCGCGATGCCGCACGCTGGTGTTGGCCGGGTTCGCGACCCCGCCAACCGCGCCGTCCCTTACGGGGGGGGCGAAGCGGGCGGCGGGAAGGCGGCCGGCGGCGGCGGGGGCCAGACCGGGGGAGGGAAGGGCGGCGGCGGCGGCGGCAAGCCCAGCGGAGGGAAGGGCAAGGGCGACGGGGACAGCGCCGGGAAGGGCAAGGCGGGCGGCAAGGGCGGCGGCGGCCACGGCGGGGCGGCGCTGGAGCCGACGCACGCCGAGGCCGGCGACGACGACGACAGCGACGACGACGACGACGACGGCGACGACGACGGCGACCGCGTTGCGCGAGGCGCCCCTCGTGCACCGCGGCAAGGTCGTCGCGTTCTCGGCGGAGCTCTCCGCCCCCGTCCTCGGCATTTTTTTGGACGAGGGCGCGGGCGCGGAGTACGCGGGCGGTCCTGGCCGCATCCAGAACGAGGGCCCTGAACGACGACGACGACGACGGCGACAAAGACGATGACCGAGGACGCTGGGCAGCGGCTCGTGCGCTTCCGGCGCCGCGCGCCGACGCGCTTCGCCATCGGCGAGCGCGTCGTGTGCCAGCTGGCGATCAACGAGCGCGGGGGCGTCGTCGCGAACCGCGTGGAGCCCCGCTGGCACGAGAACGAGCTCGAGGAGATGGGGAAGGGGAAGGGCGAGCGAGCGCGCGTTCGGTTCGTTAGAGCGCGGTCGCGGCGGCGGTGGGCTCGTTTTTCGCGCGCGTGAAAGAGCGAGGAGGACGGTGGGGGGGGCGAGGAGAGCGAGGGGTGCGAGCGCGAGGGGGCGATGCAGTTTCGTTGGTTTCTGACCGTCTGCCATCGCGAGTGGGCGATAATTTTGTTCGATACATTTTTGGCCCGAAATGACGTTCTCGGGCGTCGCGGCGTTCGCGCGCCGCCCCGACAGTAGGAGTTCGCTGCGGGCGTGGCGAGCGCGATCCGCCCGGGACTAAACGCCGTGAAACATACGCTTCGGTGTCTGAGTCTGAATCGGCTTGTAATCGCGAGTGGGCGATGACATTTTACCAATTTTTGGTCCGGCCAGAGGTGCTCGGGCGTCGCGGCGCACGCGAGGTGCCACAGCAGTAGGATTGTGCTACCGTCATCGCGAGCGCGATTCGCCCGCGTCGAAATGCCGGGGGACGTGCGTTCAGGCGCGCGGGATGGATTGAAATCGCGATACGACGCGCAATTTTTATTCGTTTTTTGGTTCGGCCAGAGGTTCTCGGGCGTCGCACAGTTTCCGCGGTGCCTCAGCGGTAGGATTGTGCCACCGTCGTCGCGAGCGCGATTCGCTCGAGTCGAAACGCCGGGAAACGCGCGCTCAGGTGCATGAATTGGATTGAGATCGCGAGTGGACGCGCACTTATTTTGTTATCGATCTTTGGTCCGGCCAGAGGCGCTCGGGTGTCGCAGCTTTTCCGCGGTGCCTCGGCAGTGGGATTGTGCTGCCGTCGTCGCGAGCGCGATTCGCTCGTGTCAAAACGCCGGGAAACGTACGTTCAGGCGCACGAGTTGGTTTAAAAACGCGAGTAGGCGCAATAAAAATATCGATTGATGGACCGGCCAGAGTTTCTCGGGTGTCGCGGCGTTGCCGCGGTGCCACAGCAGTAGGATTGTGTCACCGTCGTCGCGAGCGCGACTCGCTCGTGTCGAACCGCCGGGGAACGTGCGTTCAGGTGCGTGAGTTGGATTGAAATCGCGAGAGGACGCAGCATGCTTTTATTTTTTTTGGTCCGGCCAGGGGCGCTTGGGCGTCGCAGAGTTCCCGCAGTGCCTCGGCAGTAGGATTGCGTCACTCTTCAGGTGTTTGAATCGGTTCGTTATCCCGAGTGGACGAAAACATGTTACCGATTTTTGGTCCGGCCCGAGGCGCTCGGACGACGCGGCGCCTGGGCAGTGCCTCAGCACTAAGATTGTGCCACCGTCGTCGCGAGCGCGATTCGCTCGTGTCGACGCGCCTTGAAACGTGCGTTTAAGTGTACGGATTGGTTACAAATCGCGAGCAACTACATTTTTTAACCGATTTTTGGCCCGGC